AGAGAGAGAGAGAGAGAGAGAGAGAGAGAGAGAGAGAGAGAGGTGTGTCTGTGTGTCGTGACGATCCATCGAGACTAAAAGATACTGAAACCAAAGCATTGGACGCAACAGTGATTTGAACCTGCAAAAAAATCTATCCTAAGACAATTTCTTTTTTGAAAAGACGTTGAACTTCGGAGAAGAACTCTGCACGGAAAAATTCGATATTTATTTTAGCGAGAATGCGTTAAGTGATCAACTATTTGAAACATATATACACAAGTTTTTTAATATAATTTTGGATCAATATACAACAAAAAACTGCATATTCTAATGCGTGAACAATCATCTTACATGATAATAAAAGTATTTCTTTTCTTTTTTTCTTCAAATGAAATGATTGCTTATTAAATATAAAAAAGATTTATTGATTAATAGATCATTGTGAAACTTACCATAAGAATAAGACTTTATGATGAAGTGTTTACATCATTTGTTAAAGAATTGAGGAGTGAAACTTTGTTATCCTCCAAATCGAGAGGATCCGAAGTATAAAGACTGGTCGTAGCTGTATCACCTGCCGTGCTAGTTACAGGAGATGTGGCATTCAAGAAAATGTCATCGTCGAAATCTAATAAATTTGAAGTAGGATTATATGCCATAAGTTCACCACCACTTGTTCCACTAATATTTTCTGCAACTATAAGTAAATTAAAAATATTTAGTTAGATTTTTAATAATTATAACTACAATTGGAAATTTTACCATTAGCATGATCATCTTCCTCTTTCTCAGAATGTGGATTTAATTCTGGATTAACTGGCATACCGAACGACATTGGATCATCCGCTCCAAATAACTGAAAATGTATATTAATTAATAAACAAAAAATTTTTTATTGTATTTATTAAATTACTTACACCAAGAAGTGTATTTGCATCAATACTGTAACCCTCGCTACGTAAGATTTCACGGAGATTGTCCAATTCCGTTTGCATTGTTTCGAGATGATTATCCATTTCCTCCCTATACAGAATTATTTAAAGTAGATCAAAATGTATAAACATATTAAAGTCCATACTTTGTGAATCAAAAAGGAAAACGTTGTAAATCCTTTCAATATTCATCCTGAAATGTACAATCTTTCTATATGTTTGAATGACTCCATAAGCAGATTTTTAATTTAATTAATTAAATTAATTAATATTTTTATTTCTTTTTTTTTAAGTTAAAAAATTAAGTTAAAAAATTAAGTTAAAAAAATATTTGGCTCAACAAAATAATAAAATAGAATATTTATCCAATATAAAATAAAAATTAATAATTTTTTTATAATTGCTACTTATGCAATCAAATCAAAGAAATTTATAAGAAAGAGATTGAGTATTTTTTCAATATTATTATTATATATATTATTTTGCAACATTAATAAAATATTGGCAATTTTTGCAGTGCACGACTTCCGAAACGTTTTATATTAGTTTAAATTAATAATTTATATTCAGAAATATTCAAACCAAATTGACCTTTAGAAACCAAAAAATAAGATGAATAATTAATAAAACAATTATGTTATAAGCTAAATGAGAATCTAAAAATCGTAACACTACAATTACCAAATATATCGTAGGTATATAAAAAATAAAAATAGTTTCATGTAAATATCTCAAAAATGTAATTTATAACTTCAATAATTTAGAAAGAAGATTATTTTGAACAAAATAAATTATATATATATATATATATATATAATTTATATGAATTCATATTCATTACTTTTAATTTAAAATAAACTTTTTTTAAGAAATTGAATATTAAATTTTTGTGATTCTCTTTAAATTAAGTAGAAGTATTAAAATTGATAACAAAGAAATTATAATAATTTGGAATATATATGAGAAAAATGATACCAAGAATCCTCTATTCTTCAGATTTTATGGAATATCGTGAAATCCCTAAAGATCATAGGCAACCATTTAGAGATCTAATAAAAAGTCATCAAATTATTATTAGTAGAATGTTATAAATTGAAACCTTTCTGATTGTAATGCGAATAGAGATAAATTGGCTCCCACCTCTGTTTTTTGATTAAGAAGTTCCACTATAGATAAGTGGAATGTGCAGCACTCAACATTTTTTTTTACCCATGGTCTGTGTTGAACTTACATTGAACCTAACCTGTAAGCAGCGTCACACATGCCAGAAGAAATGACACAACTTAGAGATAAATTTTTTGAATTGCTTGTGCTTGCTCCATTGCAGTTGTCTTTTTCTTGTTCCAAACATTTCTCAGCACCATTTGTATAGGAATTTCTTCTATTATTCTGTTCATTGTTACCATCTACTTTGTTTAGTTGATCAAATGTAGTGTCATTTTCACTAGTTTCAGAATTGCCATTATTTTCACTAAAGTCATTTTCATTACTTTCAATATCTTCGTTGATGATTTCTGGCACTATCAAAATGTCCTCAAGTTTCACTAAAGTTGGATCATTCTCTTGAATATCTTCCTCCAAATCTGTTGGAGTTTCTATATCGAGCTCGTGCTCTGTCTCAGTGGTTTTACTCATATTAGCTGCCATTGCTGCGAGTTTTGAACTACGTACAGTTGCCATAGGTACTGGTTTAGAGACTGGTTTATTTTCCAACAAAGCGATCGTCACTGGTGAATCCTCTAATGGCATTTCAAGCATATGTGTTTCTTCCCTAGAAAAGTGAGATAAGCAGTTGCCAATCTTCGTTCTTGAGCTTTTAAAATCGTTGCTGTGCCATAATCTGTTTTTGAACACATTTTTGACTACAATTCTGAATGATGGAAGTATTGCAAGAGCATACACAGATGAATTTAAAGCATTATTATAAGAACATGCTTCTAAGTAGGCAATAAATTATAATTATTATAATATTAGTCAAATTGTAATACTTCTTTTATAAAAGAAATCTACATAATAAAAAACAGAACATAGTATTATACTAAAGTGATGTGTGTATATATATATATATAATATAATAATATTATATATATAATATATAAATATTATATATATATATATATATATATATATATATATAAAATATATATAAATAAGAAAGTTAAAGAATTATTATTATTTTTTTGACTTGATAATATTAAATGTATTCATTCTTTTTTATTTTATTTATAAATTATAAAATTATTTCTGTTATTTAAAAGAAAAGTAAATATTTAATGGTCAATTTAGTTTGATTTCTTTTTAAAACTACTTTTTTAACTGCTTATTATAAAAAATTAATATTATGATTTAAATACTATATATATAAAGAATTATATTTATTATTCATATTATATAAAATATAAATAACCTATTAAATTTAGATATATATATATATAACTAAATTTGAAAAAAAAAAAAAAAAAAAAAAAACAATCATGCATGGAATAAATTTAAAATATGCAATCATAAATATATCTCTTATTTTATATATGCTATAGAAAAGTATGTAAATAAGAGCAATTTTTCATGCATATACATACATACATATATATGTATATGTATATATATAAAAATTTGGATGACAAAAATGAATTTCACAATATCTTGTATATAATAAAATAAATTAACTTTTATCATCAATTTAATAGAATAACAATTATTACAGTAAATGTACTCAGAGGCATAAGTAAAAATATAAGTAAAATAATGACATTAATATGAAATGATAGCTAGTGATAAAATTTTTAATAAATTAGATTGAATTAAATACAAATAATTTAACCAAGGATTAACAAGACTTCTCTCATAAAAATAACAAGCTACTAAAATAATATTTTCCAAGCTTTAACTTTCTTTAAATTTATTTTAAAGAATTATAATTATATATATTATTTTAAAGAATTATAATTAATATAAAATTAAAAAAAGCAACTACTGATAGTTGAAAGATTGGCAGACTAAAAGAAGATCATTTTAGTATCAACTTTTTATAAGAAATGCTTTCAAAAAGGAATATTATCGCAATATTGCTGAATGTTCATGCAAAAAATGAAACTAAGCAAAATTGCGATATTATAAAATAATTTCTAGAAGTATAAACACCAACACCAAAAATGACAACAAGAGAAAAATGTTAACCTCGGTTCCTCTCCATTCTCCGTTGATGGGATCAAAATTTTGACCGGCACCTTGTTTTTCCTCCTGGCAATATTTAAATTGCAATGATATAAGTAATAATTGAGAATGAATTAATCTTATGAATTAAAAGAAAAAAGAAGTCTTTTGCAAATTAAATTTTTCTTCTGTGTTTTAAGATAGCTGTAATTAAATTATGATATATGATCATGCAATTTAATTTTTATGTACTAAATATATAATGAGTGAATCTATTATATATATATGATACAATTTAAAAGATCAAAATTTATGCCCCTGTGTCTTTCATTAAAATAAATAGAATATAAATCTTAATTTGATTAAAATATTATTACATTCCATGCATGGAAAATAATTGGAATGTGTAAAAAAAAAAATATATATATATTATAAATTATCTTCTTTATCAGTTCTCTAATCTTAGAAAAAAATATAAATAAATTTGAATTACAAAAATACTTTTTTATAGAATTATAAACATTTCTTTGTGTTTATCATGCAAAACTCCATCTTACAATTCTAAAATTGAAAGATCGTATATAACAAACGTATACGTCATTTTTATCAACAAGAAAATCTATAATTAGAACACATAATAATATGATAATTTTATTTAACTTACTTTTTTTTACCCTTACATCCGCGTTTCTTTTTTGCTTCAATTTCTTGTGCATTAATAAGTTGTATATCATCTTGTAATTGAACAGAATCATCAACTAAATGAATTGTTTCCATATTATTATCTTCCATTATTAATGTATTATTATGCTCTGGACTTTCAATGGCTGGATTTGGATGTCCTTCAAGCATTCTAAATATAAAAGAAAATAATAATTATGAATAAAAAGAAATAAATTTATAATATTGCAAGTTACATACTCTGCAACAATATATTCTGAATCCAGATCTGGTTCTGATGCATCAAGCTCATGAATAACAGGTCCTGCGGGAGATGCTTGTGACTAAAAATACAAAAATAATTACAAAATAATAAATTATGAAAAATATATGGAACATATATAATTACCTTGGATAATTTTGCTTGTTTGTTACGTTGACGGCTAGAATCATCAATCATTAATGGATATCTTCTCTTAACAGAAAGACCACCATTTCTTGAAGGTTGTACTAAAGTAACTAGAAAATGTATAAGTTTATTGACAATTTGTTGTTGTTTAAGATGCTTTTGTCTAAGCATTGCTAATTCTCTCCATAATGCTTCATTTTCTCTTTTCATAGCTCCAAGTCGTGAATCTAAATGTTCTTGACGACCTCTCATACTTCTAACTTCAGTAAGCATTTTATTCATTAATTCTGGTTTAATAGGAGTAAGTGTTGGATCTTGTCCTTTGCTGGATGCAATCTAAAAATTATTATAAGATATTTCTATATGATGTGTATAAGAATTTTTAATAAAATTTATAATATAAAAATACTTACTTTTCTTTTAATATGTTCTACTAAATATGGATGTCCTTTACAAAAAAACTGATGTGCAAATTCCATTTCATCTCTATCACATTTTAAACCACCAAGTTCGACAGAAACTTTTTTATGAAAACCATCTAGAATATTTATATATATTTATATATATTAAATATAATAATAATAATAAATAAAATATTATAGATAATAATATATATTACATTATTATTATATATACAAATATATAAATATATACATATGTATATGAAATATTATATATTACTACATACACATATTCAATTGTCTGACAAAGCTGGCCATATTATTATGTTTATAATAGTGTGGTAATAATTCTCTAGCAAATTGTGCCTGATTTCTAATGAAAAAACTCCGTCCATTCTAAAATAAATAAATATTACATAATTTTTTTTATAATATAAAGATATAAATAACAAATATTATAAATATACTTAATAAATTATATTGTGTATATGTACAACATATATATTATCCTGCATTAATGTGTGAATAATAAAATGAAACATTTGTATAAAAATGAATTATACTTTACTTTTTTGAATTATGAATTAAAATTAAAGTAGAATAATAAAAAAAAAAGACAATCATCTAAAATCAAATTTTATATGTATTTTTTTTACTTTTATTATTAGAATTTATCTTTATTTTATATATATATATATATATATATATATATTATAATATATACACAAAATATACATATATAATAAATATTTATTAATAAATTTATATTAAATAAATATATAATAATATTTTTACTATTGCATTCTAAATATAATAAAATTAATGTATAAGAAACATTTAACATATAAAAAAATTGTTACTATAATATTAATAAAAATATTTAAATATTATTTATTGAAATTTATAGAAAATATTTAATTTAAATTATTTTATAATACGTAATATTTAATATATAATATTTAATACATAATATTTAACAAAATGAAATTTTATACAAAAATATATATTTAAAATACATTTATTAAATATTAATATTAAATTTAACATTTTGCTTATTCATTTCATAGAAATTTCATAGAATCATTCATGTTACAAAATTTATGCAATTTATGTATTATACATGTATGAATTTTACCAAAATAATTATAATAATTATAAATAATTTTAATTGTAATTATTTTTTTAAATTTTAATATTTATTTAAATTTTATTTTGCATGATTTATACATTTTATTATTACAAAAGTTAAAAAATTTTCATAATATATATAATTTATTCAAAATGAATTTTCGATATTCAATAAAAAAAATTTTAATTTATCGAAATAATATAATATACATAATCATACGAAGTACGAAATAAATTACAATGTCGGGTGCATACGAAATATAGGTTGTGTACGTAAAAATGTACATTGCGGAGGTCAACGTTTAACTTACGTTTAACTCGTTGTACTTATAAGACATTATCATTACGAATAAATAGTCATTTTAAGAATAAATAAAAAATTATACATTAAAACTATTTATGCATATTGTACATAAAAATTAAGAAATCATAAGCGAATAACAAAATAAAAGTACTTACAGGTGACCAACAAATAAGGTCGTCAGTTTCAGGATCTTCGACCAACTTCCAAAGCTTGGCAAGGAACGCTGGTACGCTTGTACCTAATTCTGGGATTGTATGCATTTCAGTGTTAATACGTTAATTTCGATATGTAATAATTAATTAGTTTTTGATCTTGATCTATCACGAAAAAATCTTCACATCTCACGACAATGGCTGACCGCTGACGATGTTATTCTGCTAGTTGTACTTACAGGTGGGGAAAGAGGGGGAAATATTTTAATGGAGGAAAATGTTCGCTTTTCATTTCAGATTACAACGCCACATATTGTCATGTTGAACAAACGCTATTGGTGTTTTCTCTTAGAGCTTGGATTTAGCCATTAAACGAACTTAAATTTTGTACATGATTTACTAATCTTAAATGAAAATAGGCTTTAAGATAATTTTTAAATAAAATATTTAAAATGTAAAAAATAAAAATAGAATTTTAAGTGAAAGCGCGTAAATTTAAAAATATAAAATTATAGGTTAGATAAAAGTAATAAATATTAAAACATGAAATTACTTTCTATATATTTTTATTCACTTTTACATAAAAATTATTAATACTGTATATCTACACATATCTTTTAATATGTAACCTCATTAATATTTTTCACAATATATATAAAAAATTTGCATAAAAAATTATAATTCTCTTATAAAAAAAATACATTAAATTATTAATACATATTAATACATTTAATATATTAATAACTTATATTAATACTAGATTATATAATTTAATATCAATATAATATATTATTAATATATTAACAACTTAAACATTTTAACAATATAATATATAACATATATCTGTAATATAGAATGTTAAAAAAAAAAGACTCAAAATGGGTTTATAGTATTTAATAAGAAAAGCAAAAAATATCCAATCAATGTAGAATTATTTGATCATCTTTTCAGGTGGGGAATTTGCAATCAATATTTTCGACATAATCAATTTTTATCGATATTTATTGAACAAAACATTTAATATCATGAATGAATTCTTTTGCAATATATTGAATATAAACAAAAATTGATGCAACAGAATATTAATTCAAGCTTTTCAATACAATTATTACTAATATTACTAATATATATATAAGTTCTTAAAATTTTGGATCTTTTATTTTAACATTTTATATTAATAAATTAATATAGGTGTACAAAATCATATATCTTTTTCATTATAATTATAAATTAATTCATAACATTAATATAAAATTATAATAGTGTAATATTCAAAAATTCAATTTAATAAATACTATATAAAATATATATAAATATATTAAGTAAACATATATATAAACATATATAAAAAATGAGAAAGTTGTTGTAAAATATTTATAAAATTATAATATCATAAAATAATTAGACTATAAATAAAATTAAATAAACATTATAATATAATATAATATAAAAATAAACATTATAATATAATATACACTATAAAATATAAAGTGTTTTTAAAGCATCAATAAAAATATTCAGTTTAGTTTATCCAACTCTAAAATAATACAAATTGAAACATATAAAATTATTTAACTATAAATTTATATGCGTTATTTTATTTGATATTTATCCTGTAAAACTAAGCGTGCAACGCATATATAGAAATTTGTAAAAATAAAATAAAAATTACATATTTATAAATAGTATATATATATATATTGAAATTAGGTAGGACGATATAAATATATATATATATATATATATATATATATATGTATATTTGGTAGAAGATATTAATGGCACTTTGCGCATTCGAATAATCATTTGCGCATACGTTTTCAATTAAATATAAATAAACTTAGAAAAATTAAAGTATTTATAAAAAATCTTCAGTAGATGTTATTGTAGCTTCTATAAGTAGACCAAAATCTAATTCAGTTAAACTAGCTGTAAAATAAAATCAATAAATGATCAAAATAATTAAATATGATTTAATAAATTTAAATTTATACCTTTTGCTGTAAGAAGATCAAGGAATGTATCTAAAGGAGATAAACGATCTGCTGAAGGAAATGCCGCTAAACCTATATACAATTTATTTAAAAAAAAAAGAAATTATTAATGAATATTGATGATGAATTATGAATGAATTTCGACTTTTCAAGTTAATTATTTATTTTTACCATTATGATGATTTTTGTGTTGCAAAGTTCTACCACGATTTTGACATACTTCTCCAGATAAAATATTCGCAGCATGTTCACGAGCTCTTAACATAAAACTTACAGGATGTAACCATTGATTTAAAAGTCTTTTTGCTCGAGATTTCGGTAATAAAGATAATAAAGTTAATTTACGAATGGCATTTTCTTTTGTGTCACTGATATCTATAAAAAATGTTGATTAAAAAAAGCTTAAATATAGAAAAATTAAGAAAAAAATATATTTTTATTTAAAAAAATGTACCAGCCATGATAATTTTGCTGACATCAACTTGTAATTCAAATACTGATCGTTGTACATATTGTAAAAACATGGAATATTTTAATGTTCTATATCCAAGGTAAGTGAAAAATGATGTAAATCCTTGCGGTGCCGGAAATGCTATACTTTCTATTGAACGCCTATAGCGTTCCAACAATACGAATAATAACCATCGTCTTATTTCATCTAATTGATCGCTGAAATTATTTCTCAGTAAAAAATTATATAATTATCTTAAATTTTATAATTAAATATATATAAATAATTGACTTATATATAATTAAATCATCAATGATTTACTTACACGAGAATAAAACCACGCTCTTGTTCAATTCGCGGATCAATATTAGCGGCTCGACATAACATTTGACAAAGAATCCGCGAGGTTTCTAATTGTGCTGCCACATGTCTGGTTGCCATAGCATGGACATGTAATGGAGTACATGATCCTTTAACATATGTTATTGATGTTTGAGTACCATGTTTTAATAAATACATCGATAATTCCCGTAAATTTACTGATACAATATGCTCCTGTTTAGAAGCAGTACAACTTTCTATTTCATTAAATGGCAAATTAGAATCTATTAATTTATTGCTACGACCACTTGTTAAATCTCCAAATGACACTGTAGTCACAACTAATCTGTAATATTATTTATTGAAATCAATTTTTATTATAAAATTTATATTGTTAAAATTAAAAGAAAATGTTGAAATTAAAATATAAATTTATTTAATGATATAGAAATTTTTACATTTATAATTAAATAGATAAAACGAAAATTTGTCTAAATTATTACCCTCCACTTGGAGACATTGGAGTACTGGATCTAGATAATGCTTCAGGTTGATAACATGCTAAAGAAACTAACAATTTTTCTGCAATTTTACTTGGTTTAAATCTTACTTTATCTCCATTATTTTTACTAAGTTGATCCCATAATCTAGTCCATAAATCGCTACGATATGGAATCAACCTTTGTTGTGGTGATAATAACATTACTGATGTATTCCAAAGCTTTTCATGACTCAATGTTACACTTAAATCATTCACTTTTATTTCAAAACTTATATACTCTTCCATAGTGGTAACGGGTAGTAAAGCCAATAAAGGTACAGCATCTGCTAATAAATTTTTTTGTACTAAGGCATATGAACCGCCGATAAGAATTTCTTGCATGTATCGTACAATTTCCAACGATCTAGGTTTCTCTGCAATCGAGCATACTAATTCTGAAATAATATCCAGATCATTTTTATGACAAAGAAAGTAATGTAATATACCCAAGCGTACTTCTACCGAACTTTCTTTACGAAATACTTCGGTAAGAAAATCGGATGAAATTGTTAATTGTACTAAGTCCAATGTGGGTAAATCTATTGTTAGTATATTTGTATTAAATTGAGATATATTATTTCCTTCTAAAAAAGCTGTATCATATTTCTTCTTGTTTCCTTTGCTATTACTTTCTAATTCAAGCAATGGTACCAAATATGAAGAATGAGATGGAAGAGAAGTTAAAGGACCACATAAAATGTGACAACATGGTTCATGATTTGTTCCAATTTCGAGAAGATGAGTAAACAAACTTGGTACAAGAACAATCATATGATGATGTTCATATATTGCAAACGTTGGTCGTATAAGTTTAGCATAAGACCATGGTATACCTGGTATAACACAATGGATCACACAACTATGATGAAGAAGTGTTACAGAATATGCAAAGTGTACCGTGTTAGATTCAGTCAATGAATTAAGTACATGCTGCTGTGGTTTTATTGGACGATATAAATAATGATGGCAAACACAGACCATTCCTTTAGAATCAGAAACTACAATGAGATCTAAAGAACAATCATGAACTCTTAAAGGTATAACATCATCTTCATAAGTTCCACAGTTTGAAGAAGTTGATAATTGAGGTAAATTCAATGGTATATTTAACTGGGAAAAATAAGAAATAAATAGTTTGAAATATACTGAAATTATTATTAGATTAAGTTACTTACTACTGTCTCATGAGGTAATTCATCATGAAATTGAAGACCACTCAATGTTGGATTGGTTCTTATTGATTTATTTTCTTTTTCCTCTTCATCTTCAGAAACTAAACTTACTGGAATTTTTTTATGATGTATATAATATAAGACTTGATTTATCATATCCCATTGAGCCCAAATAAATGCTTTAACTAATGATTCAAATTTTAACTCTTGTATTGAATAAAAATCTGATATTGATGTATCAAACATTATTGTATATATTACCACATCTATAACATGGAATAATCAATTTGAATAATTCATAAAAAATATACATTGAAATATATTTTATATATATATTATATGATTCTTACATTCTTGATGAATTAATAATAAAAATTTATCCCATTGTCCATGTTGTTTTTCTTTATATAGAAATTGAATTCTCACTTGCTTAGATTTTTTTGTATCTAAACTATGTATTTTGATTTCTTTTCCTTTCAATTCAACAATAAATGCTTCATACATTTCAGTTTCAGTTGATATATTTTTATCTATAGATTCTGAATTTACATTTGTATCTATACAAACTTTTTGTTTTGTTACATATCCAAAAACAGTACGATTTTGATTTATTGTTGCTTGTACAATGTTTAATACTTCTAAGAATTGATGCAATATCTGCATTCATATTATATTTTAATTTAATTATAATACATATTTTATATAATAAAATTTTAATTACTATAAATTATTATACTTGTAACTTATCGTTAATCCGATCATAATGGCCTATAACTGTATATGATATACTTATGTTGTCTTTTATAGTTTCTTCTGTCCATCCAACTAATAGAGATCCATCTTTTTCTTGACCTAATAATTTCCATTGCTCTGCTAAAAATCAAGATGTTCAATTTCAATTATAATATTAATTCCACCTCAATATTCTATTTTAAATATAATCAAATTCATATATATAATAAATATTTACATTATAATTTGCAATATTAATATTACATATAATTTTTTAAGATTTTATAAATAATATCATTAATATTATTTAAGAGTTATACATTATAATAATTACCTGAATGAGCTTTTTCTGGCAAAAGTAAACATAATTTAGCTGCAAGATTTTCTATCATATTTATTTATAAATCTTGTCTAATGAATAAATATTTTAATTTCTTAATTATATTAATATTATAATTATAATATTTTAATTTTAAAAAATTCAATCAGTTTTAATTTAATGAGGAACGTAAATTGTATATATATTTTGACATTATCTCATATATCGTCTGCTACTTGATTTCACGTTGATGACAAGGCTGAATTGTATCAAATTTTTTATTTAAGCGCCCCCTTTATTATAAACATTCCATGATATAAGTTATAAAGTTAATCACGAAAAAATATATCTATTTTTTATAGGAATTATAGATAAAATATTGTTTGTAGATAATATGTATTATATATACAAAAATTATTGTGTAACATAAATACCTGAATCGTAAAAAATTGATAATTAGTGACTAATAAGAACTGTAAATATATAAAGTCAGTGATTTTCCTTCAAGGAAGATTAGTAACTAGTGTGCAGATTTTACGTTTTATTTATTAAGAAATTAGAATTATTTTTTCTGCAAAAATAGGTTTCTTAAAAATGGTCACTGGACGAGCACTTCATTTTGTATTTAAAATACCAGATCGAAAATTAACAATTAAATTTTATCGAGAAATTCTTGGAATGAAGGTTAGAATTTTAATAATATAAAGCGATTCGTTTTTATAGAAGTTCTTTTTTGCAGGTATTACGACATGAAGAATTTGCTGAAGGTTGCGAAGCGGCTTGCAATGGGTAATTAACTTCAGTCATGATATGCTTTTGTTTTCTTTGTCGTTTAATGATATTATTTATTTAAAATATGATATTTAAAATATAATATCCAAAAATTTTGAATAAATTATTATGATTAAATATTTTATTATTATATTATATGATATATTATATTATATTATATGATATTATTATGCAGATATTATTATATGATGATTATATGATGATGATATTATTATATTATTATATTTAAATATTATGTAGACCATATGGAAATAGATGGAGCAAAACTATGATAGGATATGGAACAGAAGATACTCATTTTGTAATAGAATTAACTTATAATTATGGGATTAAGGAATACAAAATGGGAAATGATTTTAATGGAATAACAATTCGATCTAAAGAAGTACTACAAAGAGCACGTTCAGATGGATGGCCAATAAAAGAAGAAAATGGAATATTTATTTTACAAGCACCTGGTGGTTACAAATATTATATTATTGATGAATCACAACCCAAAAATAAAGGTATTAATATTAAAATGTATTAAAATATTAATAATTTTAACACAAATAAAAATATATTTTTTTTATATTTACAGATCCTGTTGAAAAAGTAACTTTGTCTAGTTCAAATCTTCAAAAAACTATTGCTTATTGGAAAAATATTTTAGAATTAAAAATATTTAATCAAACTGAGAAAAGTGTACTGTTAGGATATGATGAAGATCAAGCAAAAATTGAATTTATAGATATTGGTAATTTAATTATGTATAAATAGTATTATGATATTATTATATATTTTATTATGTATTAATTATGTATAAATAGTATTATGATATTATTATATATTTTAGTAAGTTCAAATGAAACATATAATTTCATTTGATTAGGTACTGAAATTAATCATGCTGCAGCTTATGGACGCATAGCATTTTCAATTCCTTATACAGAACAACCAGAAATTCAAAAGAAAATTAAAGATAATGGATATAAAATATTAACTGATTTAATCACTTTAGATACTCCAGGAAAAACTTCTGTAAGAGTAATTATTCTTGCTGATCCAGTAAGTACAATTATAATATTCTACTTCTAAATATATTTTAATGAACAAATATTAATAATAATTATAAATATTTTTAGGATGGTCATGAAATTTGTTTTGTAGATGATGAAGCATTTCGACAATTATCAGTTCCGGACTATGCTAGTGAAACAATTTTAAATAGATATATTGCAAAAGAAAAATAAAAAATTAAGTTATATTTTTTAAAAAATATTTTTTTTGAAGAAGCATTATTTCAGTATTTTTACAAATTTGAAAGGTTGTGTTAATACTATTTTATTATTTTAAAAAAAACACTATATAACTGTTAATAATAAAAAACTAATATATCAGCATGAATTTTAAATATTTACTCATATTTAATTATTAATGTATTATATTACTATGTATTATTATGTATTATTACTATTATTATATTATTGTTATTAATTATTAAATGAACGAATTTATAAAATATATATTTTATAATTTAATATTTCTATGAAGAATATTCTGGTGAAGGTTGTTATTAAGAATAAATAAAAATTTATTAAAAAATGTCTTTATTACTAAAGATATCCATATCTATCCTATAGGTCATTGGCAATGACCCTTTACAATATGATTCAAATATATTGCAAAATATAATGCATTTAGTATGAAAAAAAGTTTCAGTTTAATGTATGAAATATATGCGTTTATTTCTAAAATAGTTTGAAAATTTATTATAATATTATTATATATACAATTTATTATAATATTATATGCAGTGTTTACAGTAATAATGAAGTTTATAAAAACATTTTTCTTTATATTCATTTGTGTTATTTTAATTAGTAAGTATAGCTAGATTATTTTATTATATAATATTTATATTAATGATTTTGTTATTTATTTTTCTTAGATAATATTAGCACAAAATTTAGTATTGGAAAAGGTTTTGGTAAAAATACAAAATCAAATGGAAAATCTGGAAATAGAAAATCATATGGATCTTTATATCATACATCAAATAGAGCAAATCCTAATTATAATATTGGTGAGTATCAATCATTTTTAAAAGGATTTTCTATATCTACATCTCATAGAAAACTTTCCTGTTTTAATATGCTATCTATTTTATTTAGCTAATTTTAAATATGTTATTAAATATTTATTCACATACACATTAATATAATATAATATAAATATTGTTTATAATTTTAAAACTACTTATAGCTCAAACAAATAAAAATATTAATAGACAATTTTTAAATGCTGAAGGTGGAGAAGCAACACGATTAAGTAAGTATTATTTTGTTTTTTTTATAATATATTAAATATAAAATACAAATTATATGAAATTTTTTTAATTAGTTCAAACAAAGCCTTTTCAACCATCATATTCTACAAAGCCTATTTCAGTTTTACAAAATGGAGAAAAACAAAAAAATGAAAACAAACAAACTTCTTTTTATCCATCTGCACCACAACAAGATCATATTATGAAATCCGCTACAGCACAAAATTATGGTATAAATAATATAAACATATATTATATTTAATACTATTGTTTTAAAAATATATATATTGTAGATCAGATAACATCACATCAAACAAATTTCCCCTGGAGCAATCCCTATTTAGGAAATAATAAACAAAGTACAGTTCAAACACATACAATTAATAAGCCACCAATATCAAATCAACCAATTATACCAAGTTCTCAACCACCTCCAATTGGATTCAAAGATTATGTTTATCCAGAAAGTCATATAACATCGGCTAATACTCAATCTATACATATGAGAGAATATCCTCCTTATCCTACACATCATATGCCTTTAAGTAACACATGGCCAAATTCAGTTTCTTCTCTACCTTACCAAACGAATTCAATGCCATTAAGAAATCCTTATTCTATACATTCTTCTGAAGGTATTTATAATGCACATGGGCAACCTTCTTATTCAACACATTATCCAACACATATATTAGCACAACCTGCAGTACAACCATTTGTACCTGGTCAAACTATTCTAATGGTACCAGGGCAACAAGATTCTGGCCGAGGTTTTGGTCAAATGATCAAGGAAGCTCTTGTATTTTCAACTATTAATGCAGGTGTCAATCGAATATTAAATCCTCATACTACTCATAACTATGTAGAAAGTAAACCTGATTCTACTTCAACAACTACAACTCATATTACTTATAACAATCAATATTTTAATACTGCACTTGGAGTTAATGATGAGAAAATGAATTCTACAAATGTATTACAAGTAACTGGATTTCCTAATAATTCAACTGGCATATTTACTTCTAATATAGAAAATGGTAAGTTTCTTTATCAGGAAATCATATTCCATATGTATCAAATATTTTTATTAATATACCTTGTTCACATTCAGTTAGAAACATACCCATTAATGAATCTCAAATAAATGAGAATATAAATACTTCTACAATTGTGTCAAATGATCAAAAGAATCTATCTAATAATTCTATAAGCATAGATAACACATTTTTTTACAAAATTTCGGATGATGAACTTTTTAAAATATCAGAAGAACTATTTGCAAAAAGTTCGCGTAATATATATAAATTTATAAAATTGAATCTACAAACTCAAGTTACATCTTTTAATGTAACAGATAAAGCTAAAGAATCGTATGTTCTAATCTTTTACTTTTTTTTGATTTCTAACTGATTTCAGTAATTTCAGTAATTTTTAATTTTTATTAACTTTTTCTTCTAGATTGTTTAAAATAGAATCAAAGTTGTTAGATTATCCATCAATTTATGTAATACGATCTTTATACGATAGTTATGAATACGATTTTCGTAAAAAATTGAATCGTACTTTGGAAACAAGAAAACAAGAAAATCTTTTGATTGATACATTTTTAAATACAAATGAGATGACAATAGCTATGCAATGGTTAGCTGATCGTGGATTCATTGATCCAGATGATTTTGAAAGAAAAGATGTACTTCGTCGAATTTGGTTTACTATATTCAACGGAAGTACATGCGGATTTGAACGTGTGTTTGCATCTGAAAATTATGGTACAGCCATTATTGGTATACAAGATTGGATTTATTTCGAATATTTAGAATCTTTGAAACGTATAGATTATATGGGTTACGTAAATAAATTAGATTTTGGAAATGTAAGTTATTTAAAAAAATATTAAAGAATTATACTCATTGTAATAATGTCATATTAATTATCTAATATATTTATTTTTTCAGATTGCTTCATTACTAAAAGTAAATTTTCAAATAGATGGGATTGTTAGATCAAATGTAACAATATTTGTGGGTACTTTACCTGAGTTGGAAATGGCTTTATACACGATATGTTTTTATGCAAGATCAAATAATCTTTGTCCAGTTTCTTTTGGTGGTACAAAGTTTAACATTTATACTCATTCATTTATACATTTCGGAAACGAAGTTATAGATCTTGGTCTTCCAATTTTTTAATATAGAAGATAATATATATGCAGTAGTTGTATTTAGAATTTAATATAATATATAGTGTATATATATAATATATATATATGTAATTGAATATAATTCAATTTAATAAGTAATAAAAATTAGATTATTAAAAAAATAATGTCTCATAATATTAATTTATTAATAATATTCACATAAATTATTAAGAGCAATTTATTATTATAAATAAAAAATTAAATAATATTTTTGATAATATATTTTCTTCTGAAATTTTTTAAATTAATTGTTTAAATTAATATTTAATTTTTTTTTCATGGTACGACTTCAGAAAACTAAGATTTAATTTTTCCTAAAAAATATAATTATAATATAAAAATTCATTTATTGAAAAAAATATTTTTAAATAATTTGAAAAAAGTTATATTATATATTTGTAAACAATATTCACAATCAAACATCAGAAATATATAATTATCTTTGGATTTATTATTTGTTGTAAATTTATCAAATAATGTGAGAAAAAATCTACAATGTATAATTCATGCTGCAATTCCAAACTATTTTCAACGTGGGTAGTATGCATCAATTTGTGAGAAGTCTTTTAGTAACGGATTAACCATCAAGTAGTGCGCATCGAACGATTCACAGAAAGATTTTTGATTGTTTTTGAATTACAAAATAATAGAAAAAACTAGACAACAGAGATATGAATATCAAGCTAATTCTAATTTGTACGATTCTTGTGTTGTTTGTTTTTGGTAAGCAAATCTTTTTTAATTGTTGTAAATTGTTTAATTGTTTGAAATAGTAAAAAATAATTTTTTCTTGACAACAGTTTAATTACGTAGCGATGAATTTATTGGGTTTTATTGTAATAATTATGAAAAATATTCCATGAATTATAACATTAAAAGATATTTATGAGATATTTTTGAGGAATATTGTTTGAGAATAAATTTGACGAAAGTTTTTTAAAATAGAAAGCATCAGAAATTCAAATTTTTAAACAATTTATAAGAAATAATCAAATTTCGAAAAAAAAATTTGCGTTTATTCAAAAACAAATTATTCTATGATTCATTTAATTATACATTAAATTATACAAAATTGCATCATAAAATTTCAACTGAACAGATTACAATAACTCATCAAGGAAAAGTTTTATTAGTTTTATTCGAACATATGCGAGTATTATATTACTTATATTGTCAGCATTTGATAAATTTGTAAAGAAGTAAAAAAACCTGTAGTTCTTCTAGAAAGTAACCATATAATGGTTGGCATTGAATCACTCTAATGAATCTTAAATTAATTCCATGAAACAAATATGGTTCTTTAGACATAATTAAAAAACTAACGAGTATTTAAAATTAAGTAAATTCCTCGATATAACAAGATTTTCCTATAAGCGATATCATTTCGATAATTTTAATTTAACAATTTTATTTATTCTTCTAAAGTCTTTTTTAATATTAAATGTAATAATATATTAAAACAGTATAAAAAATCCTAAAAATATATTTCTTTATTTTTATTAAAATGATTTATAAACAATTATATTAATATTTTAAACATTTTATTTTCTATTCTAGTATTATATATAAATTTAATGAAAATAATCAAATTGACATGTTAACGATATATCATTATTTTATTTAGCAAATTGTTAAATTGTTAGAGGTTGCAATAATCTATCATGGAATGATAGAGACATTCAATTGTGGGTGGAATATTATGAATCGTATAATATACGTGAGCACTTATATTAATAAAATTGATATTATTCCACTCAAACTCTTTGACTCGATATATTCCATTTAACTAATAATAACTTCTACGTATAAAGCTTTAAATTTTGTTGAATGGATTACATTTTGTTCGTATAGGATAATTATTTGAATACGTAATATCCGTCAAGATTTTATTTAATGATTTCATTCGTTTCACGCTTCGTTAATTAAGTAACTAGTAATTTGTACATAATGTATACAAGTTATATACGATTTTTAGAAAAGTTTGTAGTTAAAAAATATTATATTTATCAATGATTTAAACAATGATTTTTTTCGCACAGTTGATATTGGAAATGGAAAATCGAGTAAACGGAGAACCGGAAGTAGTGGATGGGGATCTGTATTTCGTTCAAGATCAACACCTCGTCCTCGTATATCCCAAACATCAAATCAAGGTAATTTTTATGGGTATTTTATATTCAAATGCATATATAAATTGTTTTTTTTTTATCATTTCATACTGAAATGCATATATAAAATTTTTATTTTTTATTTTTTAAAATCATTATTTCTCAATATATATATAATTACCGATTAATTTATGTAGATCGATTAATTTTTTTTAAACAATTGATAATTAATTAATTGAGACTAAGAGTTAGATTTATCAATTATTTAATAATTGATAACTTTTTTTATATAGGAAGTTCAAATCCAAATAAAATAGGATGGAATGTGCCAGATAAGAAACCAACTGGAACCAATACTGCCCCTAAACCATCTGCTCCTATATCCGAACAAAATGCTAAAACTAGCGCAACGAATGTACAATCTGGTTATAATCCCTCAGGTATTCAATATTTTTTTTTTCAATTAGATAAATTATAACCATAACACAAAGCATTATTTATAGATTAAAATATTTAATAAATAATAAAAAATTAATAAATTTAATAATAATTTTTAGGTGGATATCCTCGTCAATCAGCAAGTAATCCTTATTATACAAATCCTAATCAAGCCTATAATCCATCAATTGGACAAAATCATAATCCTTCACTTGGTCAAGCATATAATCCTTCTTTAAGCTATGGTTATAATCCATCAGGTGGTTATAGTAATCCCGGAATAGGAGGACATGTACCTTATGGAGCACAACCATCTTATGGTGGATATAATCCAGGACACTCATATAATTCACCATTGGGACAGTTCAATCCATCTATGGGTCAAATACCACAACAAGCGATGTTTGTACAACAAGCACAGAGACCTGGTATTGGACAACTTGCAAAAGAAGCATTTGTTTTTGCTGGTGTAAGCGCAGGAGTGAATGCAGCTGTTAATAGATTACTACCAGGAGGAATATATGGCACTAGAGGCACTGGAGGAGGTTCTCATACTGAAATTATATATAATAATTATTATAATAATGGGACTGCACCTGTCCCAATTTCAAATGAACAATCAGTAGTTAATACAGCTCAATCTACAACTACATCAACTGTTCAATCTCAATCAACTCAAACAGCCCAATCTGCTGTTGAAGCATCACAAACCTCCCAAATTAATGCAGGTACTAATAATGCATCACCAACTAATACAAATTCTCAAGAATCAGTGCAAAATAATCCCAATCCATTGGGATTTATCACTTCTAATGATGATATCAAAAAACTGACAGAAAGTTTATTTGAGAAAGAGAAAAACAATGCTCTTAAATATATAACAATAAATTTGCAAGGTCAGAAGAAAGATGATAGTACTAGCGACGATGCTACTGAACCGTGAGTATTATATTTATGAATGTTGTTGTAATATTAAATTTATGAATGTTATGAAATTATGAAATTTATGAAATTAAAAAATAAATTACGCGAATTCTATATTTTATGTATTTATGAATTTTTATGTTCAATGTATTTTAGGTTGTTAAGTGTGAAAGATGAAGCTTATGAAATTCCAACAATAAAAGCCATAATAATGTTACATAATAATTATGAATTGGATGTTAAAGTAAAAGAAGTAGTCACGTCAGAAGAACATAAAGAAGAATCTGAACTCCTTGATAAAATTCTTGAAACAGACATAATAAAAACAACTATGAAATTTTTAATTGATAAAGGATATATTCAAGATGATGAATTTGAGTTTAAAGACACTATGAAACGCATATGGTTTTCTCAATTTAAACGAATCGACGGAAATGCATCAAGTTCTGGCTTTGAAACAGTATTCCTAGCTGAACAATTTGATTCAGATATAATTGGATTACATAATTGGATCTATTATGCGAAACAAGAAGCAGAGAAGAAACTCAATTATCTTGGATATATCAAAGAAGTCAAATTGGGTGATGTAAGTAACAAAGAATAATGACTAGAATAATAATTAAAACAGTTTATATTTCTAATGTTTACTGTATTATGTTTTATAGAAAGCAGCAGTTTTAAAAATACGTTCATCATTAAATGGAATAGTACAACCTATCACAACTCTTTTTGTTGGTACATCACCAGAATTGGAATTTGCTTTGTATACAATGTGTTTTTTTACTCGACCGAATAACGTTTGTCCAATTTCTTTAGGAGGGACTGAATTTGTAATTTTTGTAAGCAGAGTCAATTACTTTGGAAAAGATATTTTAATTTCGGGATATCCTGATGTTTAATTTGATTGAAAAATATTTATAACATATAAAATTTATGACATATAAAATTTTATAACATTTAATAGATTTTGTGTTGAGCTTAATTTTGTTTAGAGCATAATGATTAATATGTTATAATATTGATTTGTTGAATGTAATATATATATAATATAACAAATGAAAAATTTATTAAAAATATTTAGAAGAATTAAAAAATTTAAGAATTTAAATTCTTATAAATAAATAAATATATAATTAATTTTTTTTCAAATATATAAAGATATAAAAGAGATACCTGAACAATTTTTGTCTGTCGTGTTTCTAAATTCGTTAATTCTAATAGAGGCACTATAGATGGTCGTCCGTGAGCACATTGAGTAGGAATTTTCGTTTCATTTAATAATTTCAAAAGCCATTTACATTCTTTTAATGTTAGTGAATGTCCAAACTTTATAGCTCCTAAAATACTCAGATAGTGATAATATATTTGTTAACATTAAATAATATGTATGAATAAAAAATATATATATATATTCTATTAACTTTTCTATTTATACTTTATATGATGTTTGTTAAATTGTTTATGAAATTAAAAATACATATAAATATAAAAGGAAAAAAGAGCATACCATGGCAAGCTTTCATTACAATTGCATTATGTATAGTAATTGGTAAATCATTAATTTGATAGTTTATATATTTTGTAGAATTTTGTATTAATTCGTTTAAAAGATTTTGTATATTTAACTTTAATTTCAATTCGCTATAATTGCTTTTTTTTAAACATTCTGGCACTGTTCGTATTATTATGTTATTGTTATCTAATATATTAAAAGTTATACCAAATCTTTTTAATATTTTATGATTAGATAAAAGTAAATTGCAATTCTTTGCAGATAGCTGTATAACTATAGGATTTTTTAATTTGATAGAAAATAGTTGGTTTCTTATTTGTGATTTATATTCTAAAAATTAATATTTTATAATTAATATATCTTAGTATTATACTAATATTTTCTTTTATACGAAATTATATTATATTATAAATATTAAAAATTATATCATAAATAAACAATAGTAAAATTATATTATAAATTTTTACCATGAAGTAATTGTTCATATCTTATCCTTTCATGAATTGCATGTTGATCCATTAATAAAAGCATCTTTATATTATTTTGAATTATTAATCCTATTATTAATTCATTGTTCATCTGTCCTAATATCTGTTGAAAAATATAAATAATGTAGTTTGTATGCATTTCTTATTGCAATTTTTATTTCTTATTTCAACTTACTTTAATAAGTTTTAACAGTTTTTTATTTATTTTAAATTCACGAAATCGGTCATTTTTACATGGACGCACATCAATTTCTTGATGAGGTAATATATCTGGAACTTAGAACATAAATTAAATATCATAAATTAGATTTTATAATTTAATTTATTATAATTGAAAAAATAATTTCAAAAAATAACTTAACTTACTTTGCAATTCAGATTTTACTTTAATTGAGTATAAATTTTCATCATATGCATTTAAAATATTAGTTTGTATTAATTTTGTATCTCCACGTAATAGTTTATGTAATTTTTTTGGTAAAAAATCAAAATGCTTATAAAATCTTAAAGAATTATTTTCACATTGTTTCAAATTTTTAGAATCAGACCAGTTAGACCACTCAGAAAGTGTTAATTGAATGCTTTTTGTATTAATATTGATATTTTGCAAAGCAGATGTATGTAATTGCATTAAATGATCTGTAATTAGCTGTATTTCATTGTTTTTAGATTTTTGTTTATTAGCTCTATTGTTATATTTTGAATCGTTAATAGACAAAGGTTTAATATCTTTTATAAAAATATTTATTATCTTGTTTTTAATACTTTGTAATAAATTATATATATTGGAAAGCATTAAAGTTCTTTTTCCATTCTCTATAATAAAAATATATTCAGTACATATAATGAATAATAGAATAAAAATTTCGTCTTTCTCTGCTATTTGTTTTTTGAAGAATTTTAATGTATTGATAAAAATAGTGGAAATTATTTGCAAAATTAAAGGACAATGAATAAGTTTATTATTTATAAAAATATGCTGAGGAACAGTAAAATTAGAATTTGATATTCCAATATATGCACAGAATTTGATATCAGATTTTTGTTTAGACCTTATAAACCATAATTTATAAAATATGATTTTTTTATTATATAACGATTTAAAAATATTTATTGGATTATGTGGCTTAGTAATTATCATCGTAACTTTTTTAATTTTATCATCTCTAATAGTGAATGAAGTCTGCAAATATAATATAATATATATTATATTATATATATATAATATTTCTATACGTATATATTTCTACCTATATATACCTATATATATAATGACAAATAAAATATAATAAATATAAAAATATAGTTTATTATTAAGCATTTATTTACTTGAGGATTGGCTATAGCAATGTTTTCAATTAAATAATACATATAAGCTATATTCCATTTGCTTAGGGATAATTCATGAAATCCGTAAATAGTTATTGTGGTACCCTGAGAAGGTCTTCTTTCAATTCTTTCAATGTTTGATTCGTGATATATTTTAAAAATCTATTAATAAAAAAATTTTCCAAAAATTTCAAATTTTGTAAAATTTAAAATATTTAAAATCTATTTTTTTTAAAAATATTACCTTCATATATGTTTTAGATGAATTATAATATCTAGAAGTTATTATCATTGCATTAGACAATCTACGAATGTTAATAAGTGTCTGCTTTCTCCAGTTATGAATACCATATCTAATTGGATAATTGCAATAATTTTTGTTATTATATTCTGCAATTGTTTTTAATTCTATTTTCGATATTCCTATACCATTATCTATTACTTGAATTTTACGTTTTTCACTGTGAAATCGTATTGCAATTGATGTAGCATTGACATGTAAAGAATTTGATACCTAATAAAGAAAAATATAAAAACATTCTAAACATTTTTTATAATTTATCAAGGAAAAAATGAAACATATTAATTTAAATAGTATTATGTACCAATTCTAAAACACAATTGGCAATATTCATTACATTGACTGCAATGATTGACGTTTCCATTTTAACATTTAAAACAATAATATCTTTGTTTCTCTTTATTAATGATCAAATAATGAACTATTCAAATTATATTGCACACAATATTACACGATAAAATATATTAACAAATTTGAATATAATGATTAATCATTAAAATTTCTTTTTTATATGAGAAATTTATAAATTTTAATTGTCACGAATGTATGTAAAAATTTAAAATTTAAATTTTGAAATCGAACGCGCGTAATTTTAATCGATATAAATATGTCGACAAATGTGAGCACATGTATATAATGTATAATACATAAATATATAGGAAGTTGCATAAAAATAGTTAAATATTTAATTCATTTACAGTAGATATCTAAGTTATTATAAAATTATAGATAATCATCTTATCTGTATTGCTATTCATATTTTTCGACATATTTATTTTGATTAAAATTACTCATGTTCGATTTCGAAATTTAAATTCTTGCATATATGTCATGAGATTAACATTTATAAATTTAAAAAACAAATTTTTTTTAATTATCTATCATCATATTTGTAAATAATTTTTTTAACGACTTTTTTAACAAATTATTAATAAAAAAAATTGGTCAACCATGGAGCGTAATTAGTAACATTGGATTTCACTACAAATAAGTCTAAACAATAAGAAAATAGAAGGAAAAAATTATATCGAATTAGATTTTATTCAAGAATAATAAATACTTTAATAATTGTTATTATATAGGATGAAAATCGAATTTATTCGTCACTCAAAATGAATAATGTCAAATTATAATATAAAGAAATAAATATAAAACGTTTCGTAAGCTTAAAAATATTTTGTAAAAAATACGTAATTAATTAATTTAATATGGCGTTTTTTTAGATGTAATAATATAATTATGACATGTTAATCATTAATAAATAATTACTGGAAAATTTCATATTAGAATTGATAAGAGAAGATTGTTTGAAATTTTAGCTCCAAAAAAAAAAAAAAAAAATCCAAAATAAAAATTTTAAAAAACATGAAAATTTTGAATATAAAGAAAAAGAGTAAAAATAACGAATTTTATATGTACTATTTTCAATGTTCGATAGTATAACGTAATAGTATAATAGTATAATATGCATTAATCATTAATAAATAATTAATAAAAAAAAATTTCACGTTAAAATTGATATAAAAAATTTGACCGAAGTTCTATCTTTAAAATGCAAATTTAAAAATAACTTAAAATCATAATTTTAAATAAGAAATAAGTAATTAATAAATTTTCCATGTATTTATTTTACGTGACTATAACTTTGAATACCTCTTTGCATATTCTGTTATGCTAATAACAAATCGAAACTTTGAATATCTAAACACGAGATGGCGCTGATCTCGGAAACTTTATAGATTGCTCTAACTTAATCTTGCTCTAACTTGATAAAATCTAATCTTTTAAAAATTTGAAAATTGTTAGAATCATTAAATATAATAATTTAAAAATTAAATAAAAATGTATGATAAAGGAAAAAGAAAATAAAAGAAAAAAATGTATGAAAAAGGAAAAAAAAAATAATGAAGAAAAAAATGAACATTAACATTCATGTACTATATGTGCTTTATGTGATTATTTTTTACAAATAAATAAGTTTTTTAAATATCATAAGAGTTCTACATATTTATATATATATATATAATTTTTTTATATATATTTAATTTTTTTATATGTTGTATATATGTTTTTAATGTTTTTTTGCATTTTTTTCTGTACTATAAGCTTTTGAAAATACGAATATTTAACATTTAAAGGATTGAGTTTTTTAAAATAAATTTGTTAGAATAAATTTTAAAAAAATTTTTTCGAAAATTTCGGCAATTCTTGAAAATTTTTGGGATTTTGGCAATTGAAAATGATATCAAATTTTTTGAATTTTCGAGAATTATACATTTTGGTTTAAAATTTTTTTTTGTTAACAAATTATTTACATTTTCAATGTTTATTTATGAAAATTTTTAAAAATTTGTAAGAATATTATTATCGATCTTAAATTTCCTAATATTTTCAAAAACAAGAATTTTTATGTAATTTTATAATATAGTTATTTATGAAATACTTATTATTTACATATTTACCTAATTCAGTTTAAGTACCTAATTTAGTTTTATTTTGCATTTTGAATCATTTTTTTAACTCTGGAAATATTTATCTTTTGCTTATTTACAAAATAGCAAAAGCATATAAATGCTGCTATTTTCTTACAGTATTGAATATTTTTAATTTTCTTAATGTTTTTACAATTTTTTTAATCTCAAAGAATTTTCGAATATGTTTTACATAAATTTATATGTAAAATATTTCTTTTATTTTTCAAAATATTAAAAAATATTTTAAATAAAAATTGAACAAGTTATATGAAAAATCATATATTACTATTATTTTTTTCGTAAATAGATATATGTAGATATATATATAAATATATAGATATATATAAATTTTTAAAAATTAAAATTTAATTATTTATTTTTCTTTAACTTAAAATAAACTTCAAATAAAGAAATTTAATTTAATTTAGAATCGATTGATTTAATAATTAAATTTTAACATAAGTAATATTGATATAATAAAAATTAATTTTTATTAATCTTGGAAAATATTATTGAATAAAACAATTTCTTTCTTCAATATATTTATAAAAATTTTTTTATTTTATTGTAACTACTGAAAAATTTTCACATGTCACTTTTGTAACTTCACATTATTATTGAAAACGATGATCGAATGCTTTACATGACAAAATATGTGTCAGTTTTACATAATTTTTGTTTTCTGCTTAATTCGATTAAGAGTATTCATACAATTTACGAAAGTTTGGTCGCGTGCAATGAAAGAAAGATTTATGCGAAATATTTATAATATCATACATATTTCTTCATAGATATTTGCATGTAATCGAAATACATAATTTATAATAGTTTCGTTAATTTATTTGATCTTTGTTTGTGAGTTACGGTTTTTGAAACTTTTACACTGTTAAGCACGTATTGGTAATCCATAAACGTGTCTAAATATTCCGTTACATATAGAAAACTTAACAATCATGACGGATGTGTCAAGATCTCATATCTTGCGATTAACAAAATTTTTTTTCGTAATCAATCATCGATCTACGAGTCTTTCTTTTATAATCTTTGTTATAGATATCGTTCAACCATACTTTACGTTTCATTATCATCTCTCTCTCTCTCTCTCTCTCTCTCTCTCTCTCTCTCTCTCTCTCTCTCTCTCTCTTTCTCTCTCTCTCTCTCGATCCAAATATTTAACAAACACAATTAAAGATATTTAATTTATATAAAATACGTAATTATATACGTATATAGATACGTAACGCGTCTAAGAAATTTCTTCATTTATCTTTTTTCTATCCATCGTCACATATATATATCAATATAAACGATATTATTATAATAATTATTGCGTCCAACAAAATAACATTTTTACAATGTAGAAAATGTTCGTCCAAATACGATGAAAATTACGCAACTAGTCATAACATTATAGTTAAATTTTTTCTACGCACGCGTACTCCAGTGTTTTTAGACGTGTACACATTATATACAACAAAAATTATAAAATATCACTTAAGAACATTTATATTTTAATTATTGCTATCTTTCGCGAAAGGATAGTGTTACGGGTTTCTGAAAAATTTAGAAGATGTTAACAGAAAATTTTCTCCAGGAAAGTAAACGACATTTTCCTTTTGTGCGTAAAAATAGTGTTTTGAAATAGAAAAGAAATATAAATTTATTTCACCTTAAAAAAAAAAAAATTAACAACAAGTAATAATTCAAATTAAAAAAAAAAAAAATTAAATTTTAATAATATGTATAAAAATTTTAGCAATGTATTAAAAATAAATGCTTAAATATCAAAAACGACTATTGTATTTTACTACAAATACTGGTTTATATAATTATAATCTTGAACATTATTTGCATTTGTCGCTCTTTCCTTCGAGAAACAAATTTCTTTTTGATCTTTAAAAAAATACAGAGATCAACAAAACGAAATGATTTCGTTTAAAAAAAAAAAAAAAAAAAAAGAAACAAAAAGAAACAAAAAGAAACATCCAAACATACAATTTATAGCAAAATTAATAGTATACTTTCTTCACACTTGAAATCTTTCGATATTATTCATCTGGAACTGGTCGTATATCAAATACCGAGGAAGTGAATAGGAATAAGGAAAATCGATAATAATATAAAAGAAAATTCGTTTTACATTTGTTGCAGCCAAGCGAGCTCAGAAATAATATTTTTAATACTAAAAACTTAGTAATAATCTACACGTAGAAAAGCATTTAAACGTCGAATTGAAAGCTCGCCGTTTATAATAATCATATAATGGCTTCATTGTAGTAAAATTATAGTAATAACAATCACATATGGTGTTATTTATCAACGAGATATAACACGCAAAAATGTTTAAAATGATAAGACATAAATAATTTAGATATATCGTGTGCTCGACGTAGTGCTTAGAAACCATGTAACATTAAAAATATATATATATTTATATATATTTATATATATATATATTTATATGTATAATATATATAATATGTATAAATTGTTGAGTTATTTCCTATAAATATCTTCTAAAATCTGGCTTGGCAAATTAATCACTTAGAAACAAATTCACAATTTTTTAGTCATTAACTTTAGGCACCAATGGTATGCAGACCCTGTCTTTGGTACATACGACCGATTCTATTTTATCATATATCTGAACGTTAGAAGACATCACTCGATTCATCTTCTAGCCATTAGAAGAATTCTTTCGTTTAACAATACACCAGTTACTCGTTTCTTCGTTTCATTTCACATTGTTTGTTACATTATCAGTTTCAGCTTTGTTCCAGTGCGATACCAAGGAATTATTCGTATTCCTTTTTCCTTTCTTTTTTTTTTTTTTTTTTTTCATTTAACAAAACGACACAGTCCTCAAACACGTCTCATAACAGAAACTCAGTCTTCTTCCTTTTTCTCTGGCTTCAAATCTACCATTGCGTGGAGTTCTTCTGGACTGTATCTACAATTGAATATCATGTTATGATATAATACCAACGAACAATCAACCAATACTTTTTTATCGACCGATTATCATCCAGTTAATCTCCGGGGATAACTAAAAATTCAGAAAATATTGGATCCTTACCCTAAGAGACTCTGTAAGTCACAGACAAAACGGTAAACGTATCGTTTGCCGGCTGTTTTATGTATAATATTCTTGTCATAATAATAACGAAGACCACGGCTCAACTTCTCGTAATTCATTTTAGGCTTGTTCTTGCGGATGCCCCAGCGACGTGCCACCTCATCTGGATCCGTCAGCTTGAACTCCCAGCCATCGCCGGTCCACGAGATAAAGCCTTGGCATGATTTATCTGTTAACAACTCTAACAGAAACTGCCAAAGTTGAATGGGACCGGAACCGGTAAAGCAAGGTCCACTGCCTGAAACATTAAAATAAATAATTTTTGTTATCTTCTCCCCAACCGCGATCTTTTTTACGCGATTACAATTTCAAGTAATCAATCATTACTCGTATAACCAGGGATCATCGCGCTCTGCAACAGAGGCTTCTGATCAGGATTATTTCCTATAGACGAGGGATGATGAGGATTGGAAGAGTCCCTTGGACCAAGACCGGCTAGGAATGCCGGATGATGCGACAAATGCTCGAGAGGGCCTACTCCCCATTGATCACCCCCAACGCCACCACCTCCACCTCCGCTTCCGCTTCCAGGAACCGTTTGGAATGGCGTCGCGTCGTATTGCCCGTATCCACCGCTCTCACTGTATCCCTCGTGGTATCGACCTGTTGCGAGCCGTCGATCATTAAACCGATTTTTCACATTCACTTTATTATTCATTTTATATATATATATATATACAAATCAATTTTCACATTTTAAATATTTTCAATCGTTCAAATTACCTCGAGGATAATTTTTAAAAGGCGATTGCTGATACTTGGGCTCGAGATGAATTCCACTGGTGCTGTAAAATTCCGGCGAGCCGTCGAGATTAAAAGGATGCGGCGGTTGATGATCCTGCGGCAGGCTATGATACTCGGAGGCTTCATCGTATCCGGAATAATTTGCCGGAGTCATGTAGCTCTCCGTGGCGGCTTGGCTAACCCTTAAATCGCTCTCGTTGGTCCCTGTACCCGCGAGATCGTTGCCGCTCGTCAAACCTGCTCCACCCCCTTGGAGGTGTTCCGTTATATGGTGATTGCTGTAGTTCGCTGTCAAAAGATCAATCAAAATTCAATCGAACAATTATCCTTTCACGAAATCTTCCATACTTCTCACACTTTCTTCTCCTTTCTTTCTTTTTCTTTTTTTTTTTTTTTTCCATGGAAATACTTACACTCCGTTTTGAGTTGATTTAAGTTCCGTAGATGTATATACGCGTTGTTCGCGTTATTGTTATTGTTATTGTTATTGTTGCTATTCGGAGTACTGGAATGAGAGTTGGGCGCTTGAGTGTTATGGCTATGGGGTGGCGGCGAGGTTTCATCCCTCTGATTCTCGTCTTGGCACACGGGACTGCGTAAATGATTGTAACCTCCTGAAAAATATAAAAAGAGACGATTTATAATCTCGCGTCCACACTCGTCCACCAGTCCCTTTGATCGTCCAATTACTTAAACCACGATGACAGATCGATGCGATCTTAAAAAGTGATCGTAATTTATGGATTTTACACTCTATATCTGAATCTCTGTCTGCCTATTTCTGCCTGTTCGTTAAAAAATATTTCTATTTCATTCGAAGAATTGCGGATCCCATCGATTCGATTTCCCATCGTTTCGACGATCTCGATCTCGCTGGAATCGTCGACGTGGTGGAAAATTGATCGGTGGAACCTGGGGGACTTGGACGGTGTCACGAGAGGTACGGAGTCTGCAGGGAGGAACCGCTGACACGTGGGCGGCGCGCATCTCGTCGATTGGCCCGAGCCAAACTCCGCCTATCCTCGACTTCCTTTCCTCGGCCACGAGAAACTCGTCGAGAGCGCGCGTCCATTACGGAGGCTGCGAAACCGGCTTCGTCCTTCTTCGATCGCTAACGAACGCGATAACGCTCGTAAAATATCAATCTGATCTCTCGATCTAGCCAAGATCGTGGAAAATCGAGTGGATTCGAAAGAAAAAGATCCCCCTTCTAAATCTTTTTGGATTGGACGCTCGATATCTTTTAACAACCATACATCGTATTACAAAGAATATTATCGTTTATTATCTTACACTCACATACACTTATGTACACTCCGAGCAGCACAAGGATGCGAGGAATCGGTAAAAGTTTCGCCATTTGATTTATAAGAATATATTATCCCGTGATCAATTTCCACCACATTGCCCGTATATTTAATTAAAACGAAACGATTCGAGCAACAACAACGATAACACCGCGTTTTCACTCTCGACTCGGTCGGAGTGGCTGATAAGACCTGAAGGGGGATAATGCCGTCTCCGAATCCGCGAAGATAAAAATACCGCGCATCCGGTTTCGATTACCCGTTGCGGAGTTTCAATGTACCGATAACGTTTCGTCGATCTTTCGAATTACTTATCTGAAATTTCTCTCTCCGAGAAGAATCTTGGGTATGCGGTGCATGCGATGCGATCTTTCGGATCATCGGGATCGCAATTAATTCTCGATAAAGTTAAATACAAATCAAACGGAATTGGAAAACTCATGTATACAGTTATTATATGCGATTACGTATTACAACACGTTCCCATTCGCGTTTATCGAATCGTATAAATTTAATCAAATTCTCTCTTTTTTCGAGAGATATCTCCCCCTCCCCTCCGACTCGCTAATTATTCCGAGCAGTTTATTCGTGACCCGCCATTCCACGGCCATCCCCCGATGTCGTGAGGGACAATGGCTTCTGCCGGATTATCATAATCCGTCGGCTAAGCGTCGCGTTGCGTGAACAGTCGGAATTACAATGTGCACGATATGTGTGACCAGCCGACGTTCCCACACTTATCCTTTTTTTAACGGCGAGGAAAACAGGTGGCTACTGCGCTCGACCCGTAACGAGCCAACCATCGTTCGCGACATGGCTAATAGATCCACTGCCACTGCGTTAACGAACCTCCATCAAACAATATCTCGAGATCGGCAAGAGATCGGCAAGATGAATTAAGTCTTAATTAATTGTATCGTCGAGTATGCGTTCAAGTAAATAGTAGGCGAGAAATAGACCTTATCGAATTTTACGACGGATTGAGATTTCTCGTGACGTTGATGCGCGGATGATTTAACGTCGGTCAGCTTTTCCTCTTTCGCTTACATCGTCGTTTAAGGAGGTATTTTATGATAACAATATATATATATATATATAGCAATGAATATAAGCTAATAATTTTATTTGTAATTTTCATCATTATCATCATAGGAGGCGAGAAATCGATGGAGCGAATTTATCGAATTTTACGGATTGAGATTTCTCGTGATGTTGATTCGCGAATGATTTAACATCAGTGAGCTTTGTCTCTTTTGCTTACATCGTCGTTTAAGGAGGTATTTTATAATAATAATATATATATATATATATATAGCAATGAATATAAGCTAATAATTTTATTTGTAATTTTTATTATTATCATATAGCAGGCGAGAGCTCGATTTACTTGACGTTGATGAGCTTTACCTCTCTCGCTTACATCGTCGTTTAAAGGGATATTTTGCAATTTTGGAGGATGAGATGAAGAACGAGGAAGAATGGAGTAAACGCGTGTCTAAATATATAAATTCTTCATAAAGGTATTTTTACATAACAATATATAGATATATATAGTAATCAATATAAGAAGCTAGTAATTTTGTTTGTAATTTTCATTATTATCATCATGTAGCAGGCGAGAAATCGACGGAGCTCGATTTATTTGACATTGGTGAGTTTTACCTCTCTCGCTTACATCGTCGTTTAAGGGGATATTTTGCAATTTTGGAGGATGAGATGAAGAACGAAGAATTCTTCATAAAGGTATTTTTACATAACAATATATAGATATATAGTAATCAATATAAGAAGCTAGTAATTTTGTTTGTAATTTTCATTAGTATCATCATTAGTATCATTAGTATCATTTAGTAGGCGAGAAATCGATGGAGCGAGCTCATCAAATTTTACGGATTTCTCTTTGATGTTGATGCGCGGATGATATTCAACGTCGGTGAGCTTTGCCTCTTTCGTTTACATCGTCGTTTAAGAGTGTATTTTGCTATTTTCGGGGATGAGACGAAGAACGAAGAAGAACAGAATAAACGCGTGTCTCAATATATAAATTCTTCATAAAGGTATTTTCTAATAACAATATATAGATATATATATATATATAGTAATGAATATAAGAAGCTAATAATTTTGTTTATAATTTTCATCCGAGATTCGACACATCCTGAGAGCGACACGTTGAAGCATTGTGGAAAAAGAAGAAAAGAAGAAAGATCTGTTCACTCCAAAAAACAAAAGAATAGAGGAGAGAGAGAGATCTAATCTTTCCTCGCGGATACCGGCATGAACGATGATGGAAGAATAGTGACTAGGCGCGGAATTATCACAAGTCCAGGCGGGTTTCTCATAGGTTGGGGGGGGGCAGCAAGTCGTTTCGAAGAACGTGGACGTTAATGGGGCCCAAGGGACGGACCCTTGCGCACACCACCTACACCTGCACGGGCTGGCGTGTAGCTGCACCTCGCACCCCATTTCATGGACGGTGAGCGTGGGAGTGCAGCTTTGAGTCGGCCCTCACGGCATGCCACGCATACGCACACGCGTACGTACGCGGGGCACAGACATAAAACTGGTGAACATGGTTTGCCCATGTGCTTCTCCACGAGGTAAACGTTTTCATGCTACCTAAATGCACCCTCTTCTCGCGCTCCTTCTTCCATCTCCTCTTCTTCTTCCTCCTCTTCTTCTTCTTCTTCTTCTTCTTCTTCCACCTCCTCTTCCTCTACTTCTTCATCTTCGTCGTCGTCTCGAACACCGCGACTCCGAAAGGGAGGAGGGCAACGAAACTATTCCGAAAATTCCTGAGCATTCAGGCCGCGCGTTTGTTCACACGGATGAACAATTGAAGCCGGAGCAACGATTCTTTTCTCCTCTCTCGTTCGTTTGTCTTGATCGTTTGTCTTTTTCTTCTTTTTTTTTATATACTCCTTCTCGCTCCTCTTTCTTTTTTTCTTTCTTTTTTTTTTTTTTTTTTGTTTTCTTCTCTTTTTCGAGTTGAAGCAATGTGGCATACTCTCGATGGTATTTCGCGATTGGGATCTTTAAACTTGTAACCGGATGGGGACGTTGTTATGCGTTCCGATCTTTCGATATTACATTCGTTTTTTTAAATAGTTTTTTAATAGTTTGGTATAGTATTAGATTGTTTAGTATACGATTAATTCCAAGTTCATATATTAATTCCAACGATTATGAAATAAGAGTTAAATATCTATGCACGATCCATTTTCTCGATCTTTTTTCGTCCCGATCATTTTGAACATTTCACGAGACGCAACGATTTTCAAATTTTCAAAAAGAATAGAAACAAAAGGCACACACGTGCTCTGCTAATAATAAATTTCAAATAAAATTCAATCCAGAAGAAGAAGAGATGGAAAAGAGAGAGAGAGAGAGAGAGAGAGAGAAGGTTTCGAGGGTGTAAAAGTAGCCAGCCGCGTATCAGCTGTGGAACAGGTGCCGAGGGTAGGTCCGCGAGCAACGAGTAACGGCGAAGCAACGAAAGGCTGGCACGGCAAGCGAAACGTGGTCAGCAACGCCGGCCACGAGGCACGCGCCAAATCGAATGAAACGGCAGCCTGCACAGCTGCTGCGTGTAGTATATAAGTTAAGAAAGAGAGAAGGAGGCAGAGGAGGAGGAGGAGGAGGAGGAGGAAGAAAGAGAAAAAGAAGCGGACCGGCGGCCTCTTGAAAATTAAAACCTGCCCCGCGAACGCTTTCAACGCCGGAAGCCTATTATCTTTCTCTTTCTCCGGGGCCCACCGATCTCTTCTTCTGCTTCTTCTCTTGCCCCGTATCGGAATATTTCAGATACAACGGACTCGATTCGATTTTATTGGCGATTCTTGATCCATTCATCGACACAGATCTAATATTCCAGAGTTTTTTTTTTCCTTTTCGAGAGAGATCTCGTTTGAAAATTGATTTGATTTGATTTTTTAATCCTTCGAGTTAATTTTAAACTTTGAAAGGACTTCAAATTGAATCAATTGCTTTTTTTTTTATTTGGCTTTGATGCGATAGAAATCGAAGCAAATGGATCAGAACGTGTATTGAAATACTAATACTCGATCATGGTTTAGTTAAATTATAGTTAATTTCCGAATGGTCGATTAAATATCCGTTAAATTATTTGTACCTCGGTGAATGTTTCAACGAGTGATATTTAACGAGTATTCTAAGGGAACATTGATTCTTGGAGAGGCCGAAGGTAAACACTCGGAGGAAATAATAAATTCGCGTTAGTTGCCATGCTCCGACTGCTACTACGTGTGCGAATAAGCGACGAGCTTCATTGTGAATTCAACAAAGAC